CTCTCTCTCTCTCTCTCTCTCTCTCTCTCTCTCTCTCTGTCTCTCTGCCTCTGTCTCTGTCTCTGTCTCTATCTCTCTCCCCCCTTCCCACCAAAGAAACAACTATTCATTAATTCCTTGAGGACTGATTTATTTATTGGTTCAATTTGGTTTTTATTGATTTCTTTATTGTAGTATGATATAATAATATGCATGGTATAATTTCAAGTCTCTTATATTTACTTCGCCTTGCTTCATGTAAAAGGATAACTGTGTTAGCTTTGGCAAGTTTAAGGAGAGTGTAGAAGAAAAGGAATGGAGAGGATATATTATATGTCTGTCTTTATATCTTCTGTCTATTCACCAACATGATCCTAGAAATACATTTATATGCCATTGGACTTAAAACAAAGATGAATCACAAAGGCCTTATCTTGTAGAGAAGAAAACATTATATAATGTCAGAGTAAGTGCTATACAGAAGCATCATATTAAGCAAGGATTAGGGGGAAGATCATAGACAGTTGGAAAAATGAAGAAAAACTTTATAGGGAAAGTGGAGGGGTTAGTAAGCTACACTTCATAGGCTGTTTTTATGAAGTTTTAGATAGCTTGCTGATGCTTTCAAGTAGATAGGAAATAGGTAAGAAACTATTATTGATAACTATTAGAAATATTTAATGATACTTATAGTGGGGAGTGATCAACAGGAAAAATGTGGCTAACTAGAAGTTAGCCTCAAAAGAACGCAGTGGAGAGACTATATGGGAGAGAAACAGAGAGAAGGCCCATTTCCAGGCTGAATAATACTAGTTCAGTAAGGCACAGAGCCAGGCATTGTGGCACATGCAAGTAATCCTGCCACTGGAGAGGCTGAGACAGGAAGATCACCGTGAATTCAAGGCCATTCTGAACTACATAGCAAGACCCTGCTTCAAAAAAAACAAAACAGGGCCTGGAGAGATAGCACAGTAGAATAAGTGCTTGACTGGCAAGCGCAGGGTCCTGAGTTCAATCCCTGGTACCACAAAAAAAAAAAAAAAAAAAAAAGAAAAGAAAGACAAAAAACCCCAAACAAACATAACAAAAAAGGTGCAGAGGTGACCTATCCTTACTCATGGTTTTCTGATTTTTTTCCTTTGCTAGCCAAGAAGGATCAGGAAGGTGGAGAAGAAAAGAAATCTGTGCAAAAGAAAAAAGTAAAGGAATTAAAGGTGTTAGATTCAAAGACTGCCCAGAATCTCTGTAAGTAACTCTATAATCCCAACTATTTGAAATGTGAAGGAATTCTCAGGAATTTTATTCTGTTGACTGTAGCTTCCATGTATTGAATTCTTGCTCTATCCAAGGCATTGCATAGTGAATTTCCAATACTGTGTTTGATCCCTTTGGGTGCACTGTGAGTTAGTAAGTATCCAGTGTATGCTGAAGAAACAGGTTAAGATTTTTAGGAATTTGGCCAAAAACTAGTAGGAGCAGCCTCAGGCTTTCTTATTTCAAAGCCTTTATTCTTTTCATTGCATCCACAGCAAAGCATTCTAGCCTCAGTACATTTGTTTCTATCTCATTTTTTGATAATGAATGCAAATAATATTTGGCTTCAGTCAAATTTAAAATTACTTTATTTATCTTTACATATTTTGTACAAGGTCTCACTACACAGCTCAGACTCATAGTGATCCTCCTGTTTTTAGCCTCCCCAGTGCTGGGATTGCAGGCATGCACCACCATGCCTGGTCTCTGTGGCTGGCTCAGGGTGCCCAGAAGCAGGGCTGGCATGACATGTAGTACAGGGGATTGAACCTCGATCTCTGCGCTTGCCTAAGCAGGTGCTTGGTCTGCTGAGCTATCTCACAAGCCCCTAAAATTACTTTTTAATTTAGAGTAAATGGGGTAAATCTTGTCTTCTGAGTGAGGTCAGTAGTTCTATAGTTATGTTCTGAGGTTGCTACCTATACTCAGAACTTTGATTGGCAGAAATTGTTCAGATCAGAAATTGCTCTGTAGGGCCGGGGAGATGGCTCAGTAGGATAAGCGCTTGACTGGCAAACGCAAGGATCTGAGTTCAATCACCGGTTCCGCAAAAAAAAAAAAAAAAAGAAAGAAAGAAAGAAAGAAAGAAATTGCTCTGTACATTTGATAGAAGTAACACCTTATTGGTGGTGGTTGTTCATTTTAACTGTTAATCCACCTACTTACCTGTTTTATTGAGTAATTTAAATTGTAAATTTCTTTTTTTCTTAAATCCAGGGCCTCATTGTGTAGTCCAGGCTGGCCTTCACCTCATTTGTGTAGCCCAGGCTGGCCTCCAACTCATAGCAGTCCTGCCTCAAACTCCTAAGGCTGGGATTACAGGCATGTACCACTGCACCCAGCATGAATTTGAATTTCTATTCAATTCATATTTGATGGGCTGCAATGTGACAAGCTCTAGGAGACACATACTAATCCAGAGTTTAAAGGGTACATAATCTATAAAATTTCCTCATAATCTTGGGATGTGGTTATTGCCCTTATTTTTCCAAATGAGAAACTAAAGTTCACATGTTATAATTTGGCCAAAGACATACTAATAAGTATACATACTCACAAGTAAAATCAGTGATACAAAGAAAGCAGTTTGTAAGACTTGTAATGCAGTACATTGTCTTCCTAGTGGAGTGATGTTGATAAGGAAAAAAGAATTAAGGCAGGAAATTGAGATTAGTTTATAATAAGATGGCCTGGAAGAAGAAATTTAGTGAGTCAACAGTGATTAAGTAGGGCTAGGGAGATAGCTTGGCTGTCTAAGCTCCTGCCTAGCAAGTGCAAGGAACTGAGTTCAGTCTCTCCAGTACCATGTGCTGTGCTAGCCCCAGAACCCCAAGCATGCCATGCAGCCCCAACCCAGTGTGGTGATGCACACCTATAATCCCAGCACTGAGGAGGCTGAAACAGGAGAATCAGTATGAGTCTGAGCTGTGTAGCGAGACCCTGTACCAAATACATGAATGAATGAATGAATGAATGAATGAATGATTTTTTTTTTTTTTTTTTTTTTTAGGGAGGGGCCTACAAGGTGTTTAGGATCTCACTACTAGATCGGACTCATAGTGATCCGCCTGTTTACAGCATCCCAAGAGCTGGGATTACAGGTGCGCACCACCATACCCAGTCTCAGTTGCTGTCTTAGCACTTCCCAGGGGTGGGGCCGGCACTGCAGGTCCTGGAATTGAACCCCCAGCCCTTGCGCCTCCTTGCAGGAGCTTTAATCTGCTGAGCTATTTCACTGGCCCTTGAATTTTAAAAACTAAAAAAAAAAAAAACATTCTCCTTATTAGGGAGATGTGGTGTTAGTGAGTGAGAGCTGGCAGGTGGAATCTTATATAAAGTACATGTACTCAGTGGGTGCCATTTTTTCCTTAGTTTGTGGGGAAAAAAATAAATGAAAATTGTGAAAGTCAGAGAAAATAAGACTTTTCAGATTGCTACAAAATGAGGGCTGACCAAATAGCTCGGCAGATTAAAGCACCTGCAAGCAGGAACAGGGGCCGGGGGTTCAGTCTCCAGGCCTGCCGTGCTACCCCTGCCCCTGGGGCACACTGAGATGGCAGCTGAGACTGGGTGTGGTGGTGCATGCCTGTAATCCCAGCTCTTGAAGGCTGTAAACAAGTGGATCACCATGAGTCTGATCTAGTAGTGAGACCCTGAACACCCTGTAGACCCTTCCCTAAAAATATGTTAATAATAACAACAACAACAACAACAACAATAAGATTGCTACAAAATGAAAAAGCAAAGGAGAGAGAAATGTTGAGTCAAGAAAATTCTGTTTGTTTTTACTTTCTGTGGTACTGGAGATGGAGCCCAGGACCTCCGCACTGAGCTATATCCCCAGCCTTTTATTTTTGAGACAGGGTCTTGCTGAGTCACTAAATTGTCTAGGCTTGTTTCAAACTTTGAATCTCTGACACCAGCCTGTCACAGTGCTAGGATTATAGGTGTTTATCACTATGCTTAGCTTCTTTTAAAATAGGAGACTTAACTGTGTAGCTGCTACAAGAGAGGGCCATTAGGGCCATCTCTTATGGTGAAACATAAGGAAGGGATGAGTACATGGAGATACACACACATTGTTGCACACACACATGAACACATGTATCAGTACATACTGATAAGCTTAGGAGTGTTCACACACTTTTCTTCTAGGTGATTCCAGAGTAGTTCTTCCTAAACCTTTTCTAGTCTGAACACGTAGCACACAGTTTTTAAGTGGCAGAGGAGAATGCTGGCCAAAGTAATTTTGTTGTGTGTTTAGTTTTTCTCAGGGAAAGAGTAAGGTCTTAAAACGAAGTGGTGGGACAGTTGGCAGATTGGTTATATTTTGGAGGAGCTGCCAAGATAGGTGGGAGAGAATGGAGTTAGGAAACACAAAAAGGGATTGCTAAGTAGCCAGAGCCCCAGCTATCATTGGTGTTGCTTCAGATGCAAAGATTCATCTGCATTAGCCCAGTGTAAGAGTAGAGAAATTAAATATTGGGTTAGCCACAACTGGAAGGAACAAACAGCAAGAAAATAATAGTAGTGGCAGTAAAGGGAGTAATAATGGAGAGACAGTAAAGTGACTAGACTATGTGGTCTCGACAGCTGGATGGCACTGACACATAGAGAGTGGAGCAGTCAGGAGACTAGAGAGAGCTGAGCTCCTGCTAAGATCGAAGAGGCAGAGATTAGAAAATAAGAGAACTTGGTTAAGGCAGGGAGAAAAATGAGGGGGTAAAAAGTCAAGTTATATCATGTCCAGGTACAAATTTCCTATGAGGAATGTGTTATATATACTTGAGATGTACCAATAAAGTTAATTAATAAATAAAGGAGGGCTGGTGAGATGGCTCAGTGGTCTAAAGCACCTACTTAGAACAAGCTTAGCAAAGCACAGGGACCACGGTTCAATTCCCCAGCACCACATGCCAGC